AACTTGTTGAAATTCAGTGGGGGATAGCATCATTCAGATAGAGATCATTGATCTTACAATTATGAGTGTCATTTGCCAGGTTTTGCAGAAACACAAGTCTTACTCCTGCCAAGCTAGCACTTTTGCTAGATCACAGTTACAGACATTTAGATAAGAACTGTTCTTTTCACTCTATTCATTGGCCTTCTTCATGTTAACTGCCTTTGAGTTAATCCTGATTCATGGAGTCACTGTGGATGAGACATCTCCAAGATTCCCTATCCTCCACTGTTCTGCTTAGGTCCTGTAAATTCAATTTCATGACATTCCTAATAGACCCTATTCATGTAGTGTTTGGTCTTCCTCTCTATCCACCCATATTTCCTAGTATTATTGTCTTTTACAGTTTCTTATGCCTTCCCATGATATGGCCAAACAATAGCTTCAACTTGATTTTTTCTCTTCCAGGATTATTTCAGGCTTCATCTGTTCAAAGACCCATTTGTTAGTCTTTTTGTGAATGAATGAACCTGGAAAACCATGGTCTGCAGCAGAATAGAAAGAATTCTGGACTAAACTAGATTTTGAGTACAATTTTATAAAAATTGTTCTGAAGCAAGACAGCACAGTCAGGATTATTTAACAAAGAGTAGCTATACATTAATGTGTACCAAATGTGTACTCTTGTAAATTTAAATCACATCACTGGAAAACATAAAAATATCAAAAAAGCTGAGTATGCAAGATTCTGGTCCATCTCAGGCTGGATCATTTCTAAAGTAGTACTAGATTGCCATCTGGTGGGCAGTTCAAACTTTGCATCAAAAGAGGATTAATTCACCAGACTTGTTCCAAGATATCAGAACTATTTCTTCATCACTAGATCATTACCATAACTAATGCATGAAATCATCCATTCATAAGATTTGTAGATAACTTTAACATGATATATTTGCCCTTGGTGGAAATTGCAAACATATTTAAGTTCATGTACATTGAAACAATGAGAGTATGATTTTTCCATTTTAAATCTTGTTCATTCCCCCCCCCCCGCATAAATCATGGGTTAGTAATGTACATGCTGCTAGCAGGATTTGGCTCACTGATGCTTTCATCTGGCTTGTTAACTGCCTCCAAATTCAAACTGGGTTTGGAACCCTTTAAAAAAGGCTAGACAGATGAAAAATTGGTTGTTATTGCCTAAAATTGGCTAGCAATCCTTTAGACAATGAAACTTACCTTCTGCTTCTTTCTCTTTTCAAATTATTTTTAAAATGGAATTATTTTTATTAACTGCTTGATTTTTTCCATTATGTTTTGATTTAATCAATAATATTTTTACTTTTAAAATATCATCTTAAAAAGTAAGAAAATTACCATAGATTTCTGAATTATTTTGAATTTTACAAACTGCCTAATAGGGATGGAAAGAACATTTGAAAATATTCAAAAGCTTGGTTGAAAAATGGGTACCTTGAGTGTAGCAATGCATACTGGACTTATAAAAAAAATCTCTATAGTTCAGGACATTGTGAAAAAATTGCACTCTTTTTGTTTTTTAAAAAAAGCATTGTATTTATTTTCTGTATAGAACATACTGTTTTCTTCATAGAAAATATAGTTTTCTGCACAAAAATGTCATACATGAATTTTGCATAATATAAACTCTCAACTACACCATTTTTCTTCATGATCCAGCATGTTCTGCACAGAAAATGATACCTTTATGCAGATATTTTTCCAACCAAAAATAGCATGTGCAAATTTTGTGCAGAATTAATTCTAAACTGCAAATAGTAATTTTAGCAATTTTCTTCCTTTCTTTCAGTAGAAAGAAAATTGCTAAATTTAAATTGTGTTTCCTGGAAGGATGTTCCTTGTGGACATCCTGAATAATTGTCTGGATGCAATGAAGGATTGAATATGGGTGAATAAGTTGAAGCTCATTCCAGACAAGGCATAAGTTATTTTGGTTAATAGGAAAACAAATGAAATTTGGAATTCAAGTACACTTTTAGAACTACAATTAAAGCATCAAAAGCAAAGGGGTCAGCAGTTTCTAAGGGAATGCTAACAGGAAATAAAACCATTTTAGATGGGAATGATTTTCAATGTTTCACAGTATGAAATACTAGAAATTTAGATTGTGAGGGAATATTGTATTGGGGACAGGATTCTTATTTCTGGGGGGGGGGAGCCCTCTTTTTGGTCCCCTACAGCTACATCCCCATTCTGCTTTATTATGTTCTAATGGGGTGACTCCAGAGGGACCTAGGGCATGGACCATTTGCAATGCCCCCCCCCGGATCTGGCATTGCCCTGTCCATACAGGGCAGAGCTAAAGGCCAAATTCAACTGCAGACTGTCTACAAGTGAAAAAGGCAGTCCCATAACAAATCAGGTCCATCCCTCCCTTTAAGTGGATTAAAAAGACTTACCATTTGCTCCAGAACTTCCTGGAAAATCCTGAATGCCCTGTAGCAATGCCAGGTGTCTGTTTACACATGCCTCCCACTATGCTACCCAGCATTGCCACCACTGGTGTAAGACAGTTCTCTGAAGTCACAACAAGGCACCTAGTCATATGTTCAATGCTGGGCCCCTTGATTTTGACCTCAGAGGTAGTAATTCATGCCACTGGTTGTGGTGGCAAGCAGCTCAAAGGGACAGTGTGTAGACAGCCACCTGGCCTCAGTCTGGAATTTGCAGGTAAAGGGGGGGGGAATTCATGCCAGTTTTAGGGCCAGAAAACTCCAGAGGCAGCCCAGAGTATTCTGGCCAGTGTAGATCCACCCCTACATTCATCTTAGAAAACATTCAGACCTTTTGAGCAAAATTGTAGCTCCAAGCTTTTAGAACTTTCGGTTCCTATGGGAGTTACAAAAGATTTATTTCACTAGTTCTCCCCTTCCAATGGTTATAGTCCATTGGCTCTTTAGTTACATTGCTATATTTTTTAAAGGGGGGGGGGATGGTGCACATATTCAGGCAGTTAGAAGAATACTTTTTTCAACAAAAGCAGAAATCTATTTTGCATTATTTGTGGGGCTTGGATGAACTGGTGTGGAAAAACAGAAATTTCAGAACAAACAGAAAGTTCCAAAATCTATTTTATCATAATACTTTTACTGGGCCAACCAAAAGGCAAAAATGTATCACATTAGGTTTTGAAGCTTCAGGTGTGTCTTCATGAGGCAGAGATGGTAAAATATCATCCAGGGAAAATGAAGTGACAGGATTGTAGTCCTGGCATCTCATATGTTCTGATTTGGATGTTATAGGAACTGTGTGTACATTTGAAGTGACCCCCTCCAGATGTTGCTTGCGCATGAGAAGAAAACTAATAAAACAAGACTGTTTAACTTATGCAATGGAAGTTACAAAGTGTGCCACTCTGAGAATTGTGGCAGTATTCTGTTTCTATCACCTAAGTAATGTTTCCTAGCATGATTTTGCCTGATGAAAACATCATCCATCCATGCTCCAATCACTGACAGAAAGCTCCTCCTTGTCCCATTGCAGCTGATGCCTAGTATGGCAAGAGTATCACAATTGTGATTAGGTAGTGTTCATAAATATGGAACATTTACCTAGATTTACTAAACATTCAGAGATAGATTTACTAAGTAGATGATAAAGAACTCACCTGTGTTTGCATTTATCCAGTTTGAAAAGAAAACATTCAACTGCTCATGGAACTAAAGTGTTTTCTCTCTAATTTCTGTGACAGAAGGAAATGCTGAAAGTTTAGTTAAATATGAAAATGGAAAAATCTTAAGTTGGTTTTTTTCACATTCCAATTATGGCAAATTTTGATTTAAAAAAAACTTAAATGAAATCTTCACCTAAAACGAATTATGAAATCCTCAGCCATTCCCATAGGAATTAAAAATACATACAGGGCCTGTACAGACCAGCCAAAAGAGCTGGCCTGGGGGTGGAGTTGGAGTGGGGCTACTGCATGCTGGCTGCTCTCACTCTGGCCCAATGCCATTGTCATGCCTTGCACTCCACTGCATGGTGTGCAGCATCAGGGTGCTCTCTTGGCACGGCATACAGACATACTATGAGAAAGGAGTGCAGAAGAGCTGTGGTGGTGGTGATTAAGAGTGGCTTTTTGCTGCTTCAAAAAGAAGTGACATTTGCCAGCAATTTTTGGAGTGGCACAGTGCTGTATCTGGGCTGTGGCATGTGGTTGCCCCTTAGGGACCATCTGTATAGCCCCATCGTAACAGACTGAATTTAGGAAAGGGTTATAGGGATATGGAAGATGAAGGCAAAGGAGCATGAAAAAAGAATGCAGGACACAGCAGGGGGAAAAAAAGAATAATTGAAAGGATGCAAGTGACACTGAGACCTGAAGAGAACTAACTTTTCCAAGCTCATATGGATTTGAACTAACGTCCTGAACCTCCTACGTAGAGTACTAAAGCTTACAAATTATTTTGCTTGTATCTATTCAATAGCATAAAGGGATCTCTCTCTCTCTCATTCATAACTAAGTTCTGAAATTTTGGCAGCTTTGTGGGCAATTGCATGCACGTGCTCTCTCACACACACATTGAGAGCATGTGTCCTGTGAAAAAAGGTTCAATTGGGATAGTTGCAGAATTGGTTTAGAAAGCAGAATAGCTTTTAGCTATCAGTTGCTGATACTAATGGTCTCGCTTAACACTTAACATAGCTTAACTGCTCATATTTTAGATAGAGCAGGGCTGACAGAACACTATATAGAAAAAAGAATGATGAAATGAAAGCCAGAAAAAGCTCTCAATGCAATGTAAATTATGAAAAAAAATATATAGAAAATGGTCCTTCTTTTCAATATTACAATGCTGAGAAATAAAGCCTGTGGTTGCATCTGTCTGAGTTATGTGCCTTGAAGTCATTTCCAACTTATGGTGACCCTAAGGTGAACCTATCATTGAGTTTTTGTGACAAGATTTGTTCAGAGGAGGTTTGTTATTGCCTTCCTTGAGACTGAGAGCATGTGATGTGCCCAAGGTCACCAGTGGGTATCATGGCTGAGCTGGGAATTGAACCATGGTCTCAGGAATCATAGTCCAACACTCAAATCATTATGCCACACTGGCTCTCTACATTACAGAATTCATGAAATTTGACACTGCTTTAACTGTCATGGTATGGAATTCTGGGAATTTTGGGTTTTTTTCTCATATAAGAGTATAAGAGTTTACAATAAATTATAATTATTCAGGAATTTACAATAACTGATAGATACTAGCTTCAACGTAAATTGATTCTAGGAACTTAAACATTTCTGACCAATACTTAAATGATTCTAAAGCTTGCTATAGAGTATGCATTATTAATAATAATATTAATATAATATATTCATATTGATGCTCTGCAGACTGGCAAAAAGGGGGTGATTAGGGTGACTGAAAGGCATGGTCTTTAGACAACACATGCCTAAAGGTCGCCAGGAAAGTGCCCTCTATCTGCCCCTTCCCAAGAAAGGGTGCTCAAAAAGGAGCCACTTTTTCTTGCCTTTTCCTAAAAAGTGTGCACCTTCAGAGGTGCATCTGTGTGCAGCGATGGAGGGGCAGCAGAAGAAGGGCATAAAATAAAAGAATCATAGAATTATAGAGTTGGAAGAGACCACAAGGGCCATCCAGTCCAACCCCCTGCCATGCAGGAACTTCCAATCAAAGCATCCCCAACAGATGGCCATCCAGCCTCTGCTTAAAGAGTTCCAAGGAAGGAGACTCAACCACACTCCAAGGGAGTGTGTTCCACCCTCAAACAGCTTTCACTGTCAGGAAGTTCCTCCTAATGTTGAGGTGGA